AATCTCAATTATATCAAATTAGATAACACTATCAAATTAACGAATTTAACTTGATATTGGAAGTTTTCTCCATCAAATAGATTTATATTTTTAATTTAATATAATTTAAATTATAAAATATGACCAGAGCCTAAAAAACAGTTGCTAAAATAAATTCATAATTTCGCCACTGACCTGGGGTCACCGACAACTGTGCATTCCTCTCTCATCCCCATCTGAAGCAGTACATCTGCTTGTTTCACTTTAGTGTCGTACTCTACATGGTATATCTCTAGATCAGGCGAATTCTGCTTGATCTGATCGATCCACGCCGCGTCTTCCTCCAGGAAAACAGTCCGGCCGCCGTGGTTCAAGGAGGCCCACATGACGCTGTCACGGCCGAGCCCGAAAACTAAAAAGTTGCAGGGGCCTCTCCTCGCCAGGACTCTGGCTGAAACAGAGACTTCCTTGAAGGTTTGCTGTGGGGTGATATTTGTAGTTGCATAGTGGATGAGAGCATTAGCCAAGGAAGGTGGGATTCTTGAGCATGTTGATGGTATCTGGGTGGAGTTCCATTCAGGGATTTCTGAAATCCTTTTGGACCATTGGAAACTTGATTTGCTAAGAAAAAGAAGGAAAAGAAGAAAGGAAAAGCAGATTAAGATGAACTTGAAGTGATTTGAAGGTTGAAGCTTGGATCTGATCATCTTGGGTTGATCATATGTGTATGTTGCTCAACAAAATTTTTTGTGGGTTTTAAGGGAAGAAAGATGAAATAACATGAGTTTCTGTTGGGAAAGAAATGATTTTTTGGTTTTTTTTATTGAGAAAATTGTTGGGAGATTTGCAATGACATTATTTTTTATTGAGAAAATTGTTGGCATATTTGTAAACGAGTGTTATGTTAATTGGAGGAGTTGGTGGAGTTGTTGAAGGCGATTATTGACAATAATATTTGTTTGATGAAGTAATAACATTGAAGAAAGTGGCGGTGCCCAAATAATGGGTCAAAATTAAAAAGTTGCAAATTGGTTGGCAAAAATTAAGCTTTTCCAATAAACTAACATTGATAAGAAATTTAACTCCTATCAATTAGTTGCTAAATTTTTCATTCTTTAATAATTTTTCATGTTCAAAAAAAGAAAAAAAAGGTTTTTCCAATAATCAATAGCTATCAATTCAGCTAAACTAATGCTATTACATTTTACAACACATTTACCACTATATTCATTTGTATTATCTTCATTGGTGATCATTGTTAAGTTTTTTTAAATTAATAAGTATTAATTTAACTAACTTAAAACTTAATTAAATTAATACTTATTAACATAAAAATCTTAGTTTGAAGTCATCCATACAAAAATAAAAATTCAACTAAACTTACATTTTACAACACATTTACCACTATATTCATTTGTATCCTCATAAGTAGCTCCCCAGTCATGGAACTCCATGAACCCGTTGGTGCTTTTTCTTCTCCCTTGGTTGTAAAATGCTTAAGAAATTGTGGTTGAAAACAAAACAGTCCCCTGATTATTCCCTCTAGGGACTGCATAACTTGCTAATACATTGAAATGGCTTAGGTGGCTCATGATTACATAATTTGGTAAATCAATAATTCGATATTGAAATTGATGGAGTTGACAGCCCCAGCCTTTGTTTGTAACGAATGCATCTTCAAAAGAACTACTACTATATAATTTAGTACAAACGACCACTCCTTTTTTGTCTTTCATTATACAACAACTCCGATTGATACCCATCAACGAGAACTCATTATTGAAACAATAATTTCTCACCAATAACTAG